GAAATAACATATGCATCTATGGAATGAGACGTTTATTTATTTATTTATATCAAATGGCAGGCGTTTTGATGGTTATCATTAGCTCTTTAGTTGACTTCAGGCTTCACAGAGGGGAAGGAACATCAAATTGAAAAAAGTCAAGAGGGGAGGGGAACAGAAGAGTGTTTCAAAGATGTAAGAGACAAACACAAAGGTAGAACAAAGGTGGGGTGAATACTGTGGAAATATTCGAATATGGCATAGAGTGAGGTGATGGTAGTTTGAAGTGAGAAGTCAACTGCCAGTAAATAGACCTTTTTTCCGTATGAGTGTACGTTGCCCAGGGTGCACCACGTGGAGGTAAATCTATCACACACCCCTGGAATGAGACGTAAGTTAGGATGGTTGGCTGCCAACTTTACCAGAGATGTATCATTGATAAGACTGCATATCCTGACACAATTTTGAGCTAGCAATGTTCGATGAAGCCTGTGAACTCTCCCTATGTGCTCAAAAAATATTTTATTCGGCTTTGTAGCTTAGTTCCGGTTGGAAAGTGGGTTTCATTCATATGTACCTTAACAATCTCTCTTTATTTTGCATAACAGTTTTGATATAGCAGTTTCTTGAATTTCGCTTGCATATATTGCATTTTTTTCATTCTCAAAAGACACGCCTTCAATGTGCCCAATTACAACGCGAGCATGAAGATATTAGCCGAACAGCAGGCCGTAAGTACTGCTGCTCAAGGAGCTCCCGAAGAACGCTCTGAGATTGTGGAGGAACATCTCTGGCGCCACGGTGGTCCAACTTTCAAAAATGTCCAACCCAAATCCTATAAGATTCTCGAACAACAGTTGCCCCAATCAGAAATGGGCGGTGAGTCACCTAAATGTTGATTATTGCTTATCGATTTTGGAACAGCTCCATGCACGCAAATTATGCGGTAGCTTATTTAACATCAATCTATTTATTTGCACTGTTCAAGTATTTTTAAGCACATATTTCTTTTTTATCTTTGTTTTTGTGAACAGGAGAATATCTTTTCTCCAGTGAGAATCAGTCCCATAAAAGTCAAAAGTAATATTTAAATTCTGGAAATGTGTGCTAAGAAGGAAAATACATTCAGTAATCACAGTGTTACAACTATAAAGCTCATGAATAAAAATATATAAATCTTTTCCGCAATCATGATGAAGTCTATGGCTGAAATATTTGCATGAATAGCCACGCCAAAAAAATGCTTGAAGGGAACTAAATGCGATTAACCGGTAATAATCAATCAAGAGTAGATAAGTTTATAACTTAGACACAAGTATATTTTTTATTATTCATTAGCGCTCATTTAAACGTCTTTTTATTACAAATATTCCTATTTTTATTAATCCACCTCCGTTTATAGCATCAGAAACGGCAAATCAGCGGGAAGACGGTAACGATCTAGCCTTTTTTTCTAAGACATCCTTACGGTTATGCCTGTAGTGCTTGCCTTCAAGTAAAAAGAAATCTTGTGAATTTGTTTTCTGTGTGAATATTCGTGTGTGGATGTGGTGGAAAATGCATTTGAATGAGTCGTTGAATTAGTGTACGTGGAGATAATAATGTTGGACGCCTATAGTATCGATTTTTTCTAATTTAGGTGGTACTCCAGGATCAGTATTTGAGAGGAATACTGATGAAAGATCGCCCTACCTAAAGGCCACAGAGCAGACTATTCAAAAAGCCTACGGAGAATCATAAACTCAACAATGGGAGAATTAAATTATCGAAACTTGTATCTACGCTTTCAAATGGAACCACCATCACTATTGAATAAGCTCCCTAGCTTTCACTATTCTCTCCTGTCCTCTTTTTTCCCATTGGTTTACCTTAATTTCAACTCTGTTATCTTCTCTTTTCCCGTCTCTATATCTCGTATTTCTCACCTTTCCTCTTCTTCACTTGCAATATGATTATGAAAATTATATTATGAAAAACACCTGTCATTGCTCATTTACCTGTTATGGGCAGTAATTCAATTGAAAATAGGGAGTCGATAAGTGTGAATAAAATATAGGATTAGCTTATGTTTAGAAACGCGGTATATTTAATGGATTTTGCTCAAATTATTAAAATATATGGCTTAGTATTACCTCTTCGTTAATTAAGAGGAGAATGCTAGTAATTACAGCCAACTTTGAGTTTAGGTATTTCAAAACGTCTTGTTTGGAAATTCGCTTTGAATAATTATTTATCTCTCTAAATTACTACTTATAGACCGATCGAAGACAATGCATGAATAAATTTTTAACACGAGTAATCGGCATGTGTGTTGTCACAAGCTCTGCAAGCATTCTTTAGTAATCGTAAAAATTTAATAATATTTAACGTGTTGTGAAATAACGGGCTATAACCCGAGGTACTCTGAAGTGTAAAAATCTTCCCTGTACAGCTGCATTCCAGAATTATTTTTGACAGACTTTCACCTATCTATGTATTCACTTGAAATGCCTTTATGTGTTAAGCATACAATTGTGACTATGTAAAACCCACTGAATCATTCCTACAAAGTTATGTATTTCAGGTAACTACTATTTCAACGATAAAACTTTTTTACTTTTATACGCAGACTTCTTTTCACTTACTCCCTGCCTTTTCCTTGACGTCGAAACAACAGCATTTACACAAGCCATTTCCTTTTTTACGATATCAGTCGTAAATTTTGACCAATTTCAGAGCCGAGAAATCGTTAAGGGAAATGTGGGGTGCAGTGATCTGGAAATTAATAATCTCATCCCAGAACAGTAAGCAGGGTTTGGATCGCAAAGTAGCTTAACCTAATTTAGCCATTCTAAATTTCATTCTCTCCTTAGGTATCGATTTTCGATAATCATGGTAATTTTATCTGCTGTAATTTAAGCGATGAGAATTGCTCATTTGGGCATCAGCAAATTTGGTTGTTCAATTAACGTTCGCCTAACCTTAAGTTTGCGTTCATTAAACAATTTTTGAATCTGAATGTTACGATTTAAAATGACAATTTTTCTGTTTAACTGAAATTAGAAATAGTTATGATGACTCTAGGAACTATTAAGGTTTTACTTTGAAGTGTTGATTTTGGAGGTTTTACTTGCTTGAGGGTTAATACAAGGTATAATAAGTAAGATATATCGGATAACTGACAAGCTTTGTCAGCAATTAGAACCGTTTAATATTGTTGACATCGTTATCCCC